CTTTTGTTTGTTTTTGATGGTAAGAACACTTAATATGAGATTGATCCTCTTAACAAATGTTTAAGTGTGCAATACCTTATTATTAATTATAGTCACTATGTTTCATAACATCAAAATGGAACCTATTTGTCATTTATAACTATAATTTTATATCCACTTATCAACTCTACACATGTCATCCTCCTCCCACCCTAGTAACGACCATTCTATTGTCTGCTTGTATATACCTGACTCATTTTTAAGCTTTATTGAAGTATGATTAACAAAATTGTACATATTTATAGCATATATTTGATATATATAACATTGTGATTTATACACACACACACACACACACACACACATTGTGAAGTGACTAAATCAATCAAATTAACATGTCCATCACCTCGCACATTTGTCAGTGTTTTTTGTAGTGAGAACATTTCAGTTCATTTTATTTAAGTTCTGCTATGGTTTGAATATGGTTTGTCCCCTTTGAAACTCATACTGAAATTTAATCCCCATCATTATTTATTAAAAGATGAGACCAAGTGGAATCTTTAAGAGATTAGAACTGTGTCCCAAATAATGAATTTAACAATTCATTCAATTAATGGATGAATAGGTTAATGGGTTATTTCAAGTTTGGGTCCACTCAAGAGTGGGTCCAAAGCCATTTTGGCTAGGCCTATTGTCTGACTCTCACCATTTTGTGTTGCTGCCTCTGGATTTTGTCAACATGAAGGCTATAATCAGATGAGGCCCTTGAACCTTGGATCAGGACTATGAACCCAAAATAAACCTTTTCTCTATCGCTTACCTAGTATGTAGTATTGTGGGCAGAAAACAACAATGACAACAACAACAACAACAACAAAACTAAGATACTCTCTTTTCAATATATAATATATTATCATTAAGTGTAGTCCATGCTGTACAATAGATCTCTATCATCTTGTCTCACTGAAACTTTGTACTTTTTGACAAACTCATCTGCCAACTCTTTCTCCTCCCTTGCAGCCTCTGGCAATCATCATTTTTAGATTCTACATATAAGTGAGCTCAGAATGTATTTGTTCTTCTGTGTCAGGCTTGTTTCACTTAGTATTTAGTTGGAGTTTCTGTTACAGAAGGTAAAACAGAACTTTTGGTTGAACCCTTCCTAAAACACACTGAATTGCTCTCAAACCAACGATCATCACTAAGTTGATCCTTGAACATTTCTTTCCTTCCTTTTTCAGTACTCAACATTGAATGCAAGGCCTCACATCTCTATCACCAAGCTCTAGCTCCAGTCCAGATCACTTATCTTCAATAAAATAGAACCCCTGAACTTGGGCCTCTCTAATAGAAGCCAAGAGGATACTCAGGCTGCATTTCCTAAATTCTAGAGAAAGCTCATTTCTTTATTCAAACATAACTCTATACTTCTTCGTTGAGATTTGTCAGAATTGCCTTAGCTCCCAGACCACATCTGGAAGCCTGGTATTCTGTCCTCTTCCAGACTGGTAGTTGAAAGTCTGGACTGAATGCATAGGCAGGAATCCAGCCCTAAGGTATGACCAAACTCATCCATATTGGTGGGGTGGGCAGGGTGGCTGTAGAAGGGCTCACCTCCAACCCTGCTCTCCAACCCACTCACCCTCATGTCTGGGAGCTTTCACCTGGGCCTGCTGCTGTAAATATCATCTATACTTTGTTGATTTCAATGCATCTTTTTAGCTTGGAACTCCTCCCTAAACTTGGATAGGTTCAATGGCTTGTCTAATAGGCATTTCATATGAAATATGTCAACTGAAATTCTGATCTCTTTTCACTCTTGGCTTGGTCTCTCTGGATAGCATCTTCTCTGTCTTAGCTGACGGCACCACCACAGTTCCATTTGCTCAAGCCAAAACATAGAGGCCATTCTGGATTGAGTCTTGTACTCACATCTGTAAATCCTTTCAGCTCTACCTTTAAACTAGAGCTCAAATCTCACCACTTTTCAGCACTACCTCTGCTACCCCTGGTTCCACTCACCTTCATCCCTGCCTTGATATGCCTGTAGACTCTTCAGTTTCCCTCCTCCTCTCCCTGCATCTGCCCTTGGACTTCTTGTCTATTGTTAACAACAGCTAGAGGGGTTGGGTGTGCAGCTCAGTAGCTCAGTAATACAGTGCTTGCCTAGCGTATGTGAGGCACGGGGTTCTATGCCCAGCACCACAAATAAAATAGACCAAACCCACAATAGCAACCCCACCACCATCACCAAAACCCCAGAACATAGCAGCTGGAGACAGCATCTTCCTCATGTCATCACTTAAAGGTAAGAACACCACATGTTATGGGATGTAGAACTCCCAGTTATTGCCCATGACTGTGGTGTCACACATACGGCATTTTTAATTGTTGGGTAGGTTATGGTTTTGTTATGGGCATCAAAGGCCTTGACACAACCAAATAACTAGTAACTGAAATTTAATTGAATATTATTCATCAACATCTCAACTATAGGTGATATTTAGTCACTGCCTGATGGACGTGAGACTTTTATATGTAGACCAGCACAGCTTACCACTGAGTTACATCCCCAGCCCTTTTTATTTCTTATTTTGAGACAGTCTTGCTAAATTGCCCAGGTTGGCTTTAAACTTGTGATCTTCCTGTCTCAGCCTTCTGGTTAGCTGGGATTACAGACAAGTATCACCACATCCATCCTCTAGTTGCACTTTTATAAGTATTCTAAAAAAATGTGTCAATCTCCTAAAGCAAGCTAGTATAAATAAGCTATACCAAGTCTTCTTATAAAGTTTATGCACAGCATAATACACTTAATTTAAATAATTATTCCAATTTTTCTTTAAAGCTTAGCTTATTTCTTACTAACACAATTTTAAAATAAGCATTTTCCCTGAAAATTCTGGTTTAACAGGCTGAAATTTTCCCAGTTCCTATTCCACTTCTTATTTTCCCTGCTTTTACCTATATTTTGAAATATTTTTCAAAAGATTTGAATTTGAATTATTAATGTGGCTTAATTCAAAGCAATCCTGAAAATGTCTAGCTGGGCTCTTCACAACTGCATAAAGATTTAGACTTGTCCCTGACCTTTTGATTATATTTTAATAAAGTACATGTGCAAGCATCCACATTATAGTAAAAATTTGCACTAAATCATAAAGATCTTGAAAAAGCAGGCATTAAGCACACTATGCACATAGCACATTATTTCCTATTCATCTCACCCCTTCTCTGACCCCATTTCTTTGATACCCCTATCAGATTCAGCCATGGTGATACTCACAGCTGGGCTGGGCTTGCTCCTACTTCAGAGCCGTTGGTCGTGCCATCCACTCTGCTTCAAGTATTTTTCCTCTTGAATTCCTCATACATTGCTCCTCATCTTTTGGCTTTCCCTCAAATATACCTTATCACTGAGGTCTTCACTGAACAAACTATTCAAAACTGGATTCACTACAGTCTTCTCCCACTCTTCTCGATATACTCTTCACCTACTTTCTCTCCATAGCAATTTCCACTTTCACATACCAGTATATTTTACTTGTTTATTTATTGTCTGTCACCCCCATCCCCACCCTGGAATTTAAGCATCATGATGATAGCAGGGTTTTTCTCTTCCCCTTCCCTGCCGCCTTCTTTTTTGCCCTTTTCTTCCTCACTGTATTAGCAGCAGTGCCCAGAGCAGTGACTGCTACAGAATGGACACTCCTTAAACTCTTCTTGAATGAATAAGTGAATGAGTAAATAAGGCAAAGGTTCTGGGAAAGAAAGCAAGATGGAAAAAACTGCACCATCTTGCCTAAAATAGTACCCACACCTTCCCAAGGCTCATCCTCTATCCTTTTAATTTGCTTATGTGTGAACTGAACAGTGACAAACTTGGATGTGCCCCAAATGATCATGACACACACACACACACACACACACTTATTTTTTTTTTTTTTTTTCTGACTCAGGTGTTTTGGAACCACACTTTACAACAACCAAAAACAAACAAACAAACAAACAAACCACCTAGGTTAAATAGTGGTTGGAAACGCAACAAGAAAACCTTCACTGCTGGCCCTCTTTTTGGATGTTAACGGATTTGGGCCCCATTTGGGATTTTTGGGTTTAGACAAAGCTTTCTGGGTCAAGGAACTGTTTTCTCTGAAATTCTACACACCTAACGGGCTGCCATGTTTCAGTGCAATGAGAGATTTGGCCTTCCTGGGGACACTGGAGATTTTTTAGTTGTTATAACTGGAGTCTTGGGAGTGTAGCATGCTACTTGAATTTAGTAGGTAGAAGCCAGGGATGCTCAACTTCCTACAATTAAGGTTATGTTTTTAACAAGTAAAAATACAGGTACTAACAGGCTCTTCAGAGGAAACACAGGGACTCCTGGTTTTCTGAAAAAATACCCACAATGCCCAGGCCAGCCCCTATAATAAAGACCTATCCAGGTAAAAATGTTAAGACTGTGGAGGACGATAAACCCAAGATCAGTGGTATCCAAACCCTATTAGCATTAGGGTCACCTTCGGGGCTTGGAAGGCACAGTTTATTGGGGCCCGCCCACAGTTTCGGATTCCGGGAGGTTTTACTATTTTTAGTTTTGGGCCATAAGTAAGAACTACTTCCCTAGAAAAAAAGAGGTCATGGAGGCCCCCACCCCGAGTAGAAGCTGCGCAAGTTTCTAGGCGAGAACCGAGGAGAAACCAGGTGAAAGTTGCAGGAGGATCTAACCCTCTGAGGTGAGTATTGTGATCCTGGCCACTCGGTTTTGGAGGCACTTTCAGGTTCTCTCTAGGCGCCTCGGAGGTTCTGCCATCTCTATGATTGCTCGGGCGGGGGCGTGGCCTTCCCGGGGGCGTGGCGTGTAAGGCGGGCAGAGGCGCCCGAGCACTCTAGTGCCGGACGTTGCGCGGCCGCGACACCCAATGCCAAAGCTGGCTCAGAGGTTTTGCTGTGCTTTCCTCAGGGCGTCCAATACAGTCAGGCGAGGCTCAGGTCTGGCCAGCCCAGGTAGGCGTTACCCCGCTTGCACTGCGGGGCACGGCCCGGTTTTTATGCGGGAGTAGCGGGACCTGATGTTGCATTTTCTCAACGGTGCAGTCAGCCTTACTGCTAGGCGCGGAGAACCAGGAGTAGGGAACAAACCAGACGGGAACAATAGGCCTCCAGACTGTGAGCTCTGAGGGTCGCAAGGGGGCGCTGTGGCTGCAAGCCGGCGGGGTCGGCTGAGCTTGCAGGGTAGTGGGGTGGGTGTGACTGAGGCGGACTAGGGTGGGATGGAATGTGTGTGGGACCTGGTTCCGAGAATGGAGAGTAGGCATGGCCGAACTGAAGAGGGTTGGTTATATGCGGGTTGGACTGGTCTGGGGCAGGCTAAAGGGGTTTGGGAGGAGTGTGCTTCAGGGGCCGACAGCTCAGCGCAGAGACATGCAGGGGCGGAGCGTTTGTCTCCTTTTCTGTGGGATCCCTGAGGTTTCAGAGTCTTTGTTTCCTCTTCTTGCTGTTTCTCTTTTGATACTGAGATAGGGTCAGAGAGAGGTGCTCTTGTCTCAAAAAGGCCCCTCCTGGAGCTGTTTTGCACCTGGCTTAGCTTTGAGTCATTTATATTTATAAAATATCTTTAAAAAAGACTTTCATCTTGAAATATTTTCAGAATTCCAAAAAGTTGCAAAAGAATTCCCATATAGGTTCACCCAGATCTCCCACTTGTGAGCATCTTTTTAACAGAACAAACAGCAGAACCATGTCCTATAACATCCAAGCCAGGATTTACTTGCATTTAATTATCTTGTCTTCTTGGAGAAATTAACATTTTCAATAGCAGAGCCCACTCCCCTTCTCCCCAAGACCCTTCAGAGTGGTTCTGGCAGCTCCAGGATTAAAATCAAGGTTCTTTTATCTTTGCTGGGTGCTCAGTCCAGTTGAAAAGGTCCACCTGGTCCTCTGGGCAGTTTTGGTGCAGGTTGATCACCATTTGCTCCACTATGTAGTCTCTGCCAGGGGCTGCCTCTCAGGCTAGCTTCTTGCCCTTTTTAGGCTCCTCCATTCCTCCTTCCCTCCTTCCCTCAGATAGTTTCTAAAGACTTCTTCCTTGGCGATCATCTCCTTCAGTCTGCGTTTCCTTCCCTGGTAACCTCTTAAGATTTTGAGCTTTCCACAAATCCTCAGAAAATGCACCAATTTATGACTCCAGGCCAGGCTGTTTCTTGGTCCCAGGCCCACAGAGTTTGTGGTCTGCTGGATGCCATTCTGAGTAATGCTCCAAACATTTCTGTCTCAGATGTGCTCACCACATCTGGCTGCCTTCTAGAGCTCCCAGCCTCCATGAATTGCATCTCTGTGTTCCAGCCATATAGACCTGAAGTCTAGTAGGTGACTCTGACTAGCCTGTCTCCCTTGCCTCTTAAACAGTGATCTATATTTATTGTTACTTTTTAAATCCCACTTGGGCAGGTTCTTTTCTTCTGATAAACACCACTCAGTTGTATACACAGCAGTTAGAATAAGCTTGTTAAAAATGCAAATTTGATGGTTTTGTATTCTGTTGGTAATTTTATGTATTAAAAAAAAAGGCCTTAATAGGACAGGTTCAGCCTTTTCTTGAACCCTTTCACTAGATTCCCTACTCTTTTCAGACTGGCATTTCTTTCCCTTCATGTTCTTCTGCTCCCTTTGCCTGGGATCTTGTTTCTTGCCTACTCAGGGAATTCTTGCTCTTTGTGTAGCTCTCCAGCCAGTCATCCTTTCCCTGGGAAAGTGTTCTTTCATTTCCTTGACTTGTTCCAGTTTTTGTGTTATGCATCCTAATCTCCCCCACCCCGTCTCCTTGGTAACCCTGCCCTAGCTGCAGTTTGAGTTTTGTACATGTGTTCCTGGCACCTAGTAGATACTTTATGTGTTTGGATGAGGGAGAGGTGGGGGTACCTAATATGGGTGCCTAATAGCTTCTATCTGGACATTATTCCCTTTTGGAGTATGCTTAATCTGGGGGTACACTGTCCTTTGTGAGTTCTCTCAGGCAGGGCAAAAGGGATGGAGGGATTCACATGAGGAGATGGAGGGCTAAGGAGCAATCTGAGAACTACTAAAAGTGAAAATGAGGAAGTGTGGTCTGAGGACCACAGAAAGGGAGATGGGTTTCCTGCCTAGCTGTCCCTCTCCCAGCCGGCTGAGTCCACTGTATTAGACTCTCCACTGATAGACATTTCCTGTGTATGGTTTCAGAGAATCTTTAAGAAGTATGCTTTGGTTAGTGTTAAACCATATATCAGTAGTTTCTGGTTCTTTCCTAAATAGCTATCTCAAAGCCAGAAAGTGAAGATGAAGATGAAGATGAAGGCCTACAACAGGATGCTGCTGGGGTGCCCTGGAGTGTGACTATTATTTCCGGGGCACTAGTAGTTTGTTTATTGGGGCCTACTGCATGCCAGAAGCCATATTGACTTCTGAGGATCCAGAGATGGGCTTAATTCTCAGATGGGTCATTTTAGTCATATGTGATAAAAACTGTGATAGAAGAATCCTTTACTGAAAGCTTGGTGGATGCAGAAAGGTATTGCAGGGTCATCTAAGCTGAGGTGGTGGCTGTGAGTGTCCTTGATCTTATTCTAGAGCCTGATATGATTGTGACCTGGGGAAACTGGAGCCCTGGGTGTAGATGTTAGTGAGTGAATGAGGCCAGCCGAGGGCATGGCAGAGGAAGAGGTGATGAGCTGCCGAGAGGCAGAGCTACTGTGAAATGGTAACAGGTCACGTTTCCTGCCCCAAACCTGGCTGAACTTGGGGAAAAGGTCACAGTGTTTGATTTTTATCAGACTTGTACCAAAGCACCTCTTAATCACGTAGAGTATTTCTGTACCAAAATTGTTGATAGCTGTAATTGGTTAAGGAAATACAGATTATAGAGAACCTCAGATCAATTCAGGTTTGCTGCAACAGTTTGTGGCAAACTTTTGAAAATGTTTAGTTTTCAGAATTTTCGACTATTTTAATTGCAAGGGGTGTTGTGGTTCTTAACCCGTTGCTAATACTCTGTGAATCCATGTCTTTTGTGTGTACTTTATACACATTCATGCGCGTTTTCACAAGAGAATGATAGCAGATAACCATTTCATGGGTGAGGAGATAAGGGCACAGAGAAGGTAAATGACTTGGCAAGGTTGCACAGCTTTATCTCTGATGGTTCCATATTCCACATTCTTACCAGGCTTCAGGCTTGGGAGTGGACAGGGTGGAGGAATTTGAAGGACCAAGCCTTTCTCACACACATGGTATTTAACTGCATGTCTCTCTTGCCAGCCATCATTGGTGCCAAAGAAAGTGAGAACAGAAGAGACTGGAGCTCTGTAGACATTGTGGTCACATACCCAGATTCACTGAGGGCCTGTGGGGACTAGTGGCTATGATTCCTGGAACTTAAGGTCTAGTCTGATAATGAACTTTTCTCATAAGTCTTAAAGGAATTTAAGTATGATGTCAAGTGGACCAGTCAGGGTAGCAGTCAGGGGCATCGTGTGAGGCTAGGATATAGGCTAGTTGGCCTTTGAGAAAATTTGGGTAAACAATTTCAGAAGGCTACAATAAGGACATTCTTCATAAAGGACACAGGTAACTGTTCATTTTTTTCCCCCTTCTAGCTGTGCAAGATGTATGTGCTCTGGAATACCACAGATGGACGTCTGCCTGCCAGTCCTTCATCTCTACAGAGCAGTACTCCTCCTGTGGGCCACTGAGTGGCTTTCCCAGATAGTTTGTGTTTCTTTGCCAGGGTCCCCGTGCCTGTTTGTGTTTGTGTATGTGAATGGTACATACCAAAGCATGGAACAAGAACAAAGATTAATAAGCAAGTCTGAATATCCTACTCAGTTTAAGAAATAGAACCCTACCAAAATTTTAGATACCTCCAAGTGTCTGCGATAATTGCATCGTTTCTCTTCAGAGGTAACCACTGTCCTGAAGTCCCTCTTAATCATGTCCTTGATTCTCTTGATAGTTTGGCCAGGGGAGATCCTGTTGCTTTGCTTATTAAGATGTAATTAAAAAAAAAATGACCTTCATTGTCTTACAGGTTCTTTAGACTCTGAATAAAGATAGTCTCGCCTTCCCAGTTCATCATGGCTTCACCCTCAAGGTAGGAGTGCTGTTGAATGAAATGCTTTTAAAAGTATTTACTCCTCTCTGTTTTGAAAGGCCAAGCTAGTGACACTTTTAGCCTTTAGTCCTTGTAGCTTCACTAAACAGTTGGTG